GTTATTAATTACGACTCAACCGACGCGAAATAAATCCCGACGATACATTCATATGCAAATAAACTGACGAAGGATTAACTCCTTTTGTCGCGTTATTACACACGTATCTTTCATACGCTGTTTCAACGAGGATAAAAATTGTATTTATCGTTTTTTTTTTTTTTTTTTTTTTTTTTTTTTTTTCTTATTGTCGAGAATATATGCCGTACCGTTTGGCCTTCCGTTGCTTCCGAGCCTCCGCAATCAACTTCTTTCGTTCTTATTTCGATAAGCATCGCAACGATGTAACGGGCGAGATACGCGAAGAACACTTCTCATTAACGATGTTGCGAGTTTAGCCGGGCCCTGGCTCTCACAATACCACGCTACCTGCCCGCTCGTATACCAATTTCTTCCAACGATGAGGTCATTTTATATCCTTGCCGGGTTTCACCGTACCCGATTACCTTAGAACGAATCAAATTCGTCCACTGTACGGCCACTTTCATCACCGGACTCCCTCTGATGCTGCAGGTGAAACGAGCTACCAAACTTTCATACGGGAGTATTTTAAATAAGTTTCGAATTTTTCCAACTCCACTCTTTTCGATTAATGATGTAGTCAAGAGAGTATATATAAATAAACGTTTTGACACACGATTTGATATTGATGGGCACGGTTTAGTTGGGAAGGGAAGGGAAGCATCCTTTCTTGTGCAACGATTAAACGCAGGCTTACTCCGTTTCCCGTAAGCAATTTTGCGTAATCGTACCGCCTGCCTCAGTTACCTGCACATCGCTAACGAGTTACCACGGATCATTCTTTCACAGCAGCTAACGCAATGATCGTCGGATCATCATCTCTAAAATTTGTTTCTTTACCATGGAAAAAAAGGGGGAAAGAAAGAAAGAAAGAAAGAGAAAAAGAAAAATTGTCCCCAATCCGTCTTAATTTAATCCAAGTGGCGACAAAAACTGTATTCGATTTATCACGTAAATGGCGCAAGAAATCTAGTGAAATATATTTATTATGAATCATTGGAAATTTCCAAAGCATGGTTAAAAAACGCCTATTTTCAATTATTCGTTTCACCAAAGTGAAATATAATTGAATCGATGCGCGACAAATATTTACGTGACTCAAATATTCTTATTAGCATGCTAATGTGTCAAGTATTCCACCGACGTTCCCGCCATTGTTTGCTCAGTTTATACCCATTATTACTATGCAAACCTGTTACCAACGATTCCACGATAAGTCGAATCGCCTCCTCGAATCTGATTAGAAATAACACCACCGACAATCGTCGTCGCCTTCTCAACAAGTACCAAATTTTCTCGAGTAAAGTACCATAAAGTACCATAAATATAAAAATAATTTTCCCTTCACCTTTCACTTCGAATTCAGCCTTTCACCTCACGGTGATTACACGCGATTTCGTTACGATGTTAGACTTTTTTTCGCGGGATTCCCATTGCGTCCTCCTCGATCATACGATCATTCTCAAGATAAAGTCGAGGAAGTATCGAGCCGCAGACACCGAAGCGCACAAGTTTCTATTCCTCTTCGAAAAAACTTCGAGAAAATGTACGAAATTCTTTCGCTCGCTTGGGTAATCGAAAAAAAAATCTGCTTTATATAAGTCGACAAAATTTATATGATTTTTTTCAGGTTAATCGAAGACCAAGGCCAAAAGCCAAAAGGTATATATAATAAATACTTTCTTTTCTCCGTTCGATATTTAGGATATTTTTGTAATGTAAATTTCATCCAAAAAAAAAAAAAAAAAAAAAGAAAAAGAAAAAGATACCGTGAAAGTTACGACGATATCGGTATCAAAGAGATACTTGTTAATCGTTTGAATAAACAATTAATAAAAATCATCGGAAATTCTTAATTACCCCTGGGATAGCTTTTATCTATTCGCAACTGCGAAGAAAGTTCGCGCGCAGGATGCATCCCATAAAAGTTGGATAACCGTGAAACCGATCCTCCGGATGAAACTCTGCAAGCCCATAAAACACGCTGTCGACAAACGGGTTCTTTTCTCTTTTAAAGCAATTCGATTCGGAACGATTCGATTGTGATCAGGCCGATCCATCGGGGATGGGAATAAAAACGTAACGGACTAAACAACGTCGAGGAGGAAGAGGACCGATCTCGAGAGAAGCTGTAACGGACGAGCGAAAGTCAAGCCCCAGGCTCCACACGGATTCCCCTTCTTTCGTTCTGCGACCCTGCAACATTAATATCCGAGAAACTCGGATGCAGCAGGAGACGTGACTCGAGGGCTCGAGAATATTATACGAGTCATCGAGATCGGCGAGCAACGGGATGGATCGCGGCAGGCCATCGAGGAAATCGAAATTTTTGCACGAGCGCCGCCGTCCAACTAATCCTCTCTTTAATCCTCGACCCGGTTCTTCGATACCCTTGCTTCGATACGATATATATCTCACCGCTTGTATCATTCCGAGAAGTAGGTCAACGTCTCCTCACTTTTCCTTTTCGAACACGGAGAAAGAGGAATGTGTGTGTGCGCGCGCGTGCATGTCTCCCCCTCCTCCTCCGGTTTGAAAAATGTTTAACCAATTTCACGCTCACGATACGAGTAATCGATGATTCGAGGAAAGGTATAATTACGAAGAAGAATGCAATTCGAAGGGTATTCCCGTCCAAGATAAAGTCGTACGATCGATTCGTATATAGTTTTGTAACGAAATGCAAGGGAACGGGGGATATTCGATCCACCTCCGCAGCTTTGGCTTTCTCTCGTACAATTCGTTTAAAATATATACGGGATAAATTGCCGTGCAAGATACATAGTAAATACATTACAACAAGGTATTTATCGTTCTTTATCGTTCAGATTTCATGTCCACCATTCGAATATCGAAACCTTCATTCCAATCTCGGTACGTACACCGATGCCTATTACCCGGCCGTTTAATAAAGATGAAATAACGAGCCACGAGGGACACCGCGAGGAATGTTTTATCAGAAAAATTTCAGATGAAATATGAACCGAATAAAAAAAAAAAAAAAGAAAGAAATAAATAAACACGAAGATAACTCTGTGTGGATTTAAATTAAATTATCCACGCAAGAGGCTTGATCGATGGTATTTTTTTCTCGAAGAAACAGCATCTTAACTCAGATACATATACATATAGTGTGTGTATAGTGTGTGTGGATATATATATATGTTTCGTAACTGCAATTTTACCCGATACGATTTCCCTTATTACGAATTAAAAAATCGACAAGAGGAACAAGAAAACGTCCAATTTCCTGTTTTCCTCGTCGATAATTTATCCTTTATCGATACGTAAGATTTACGAAATGCATGTACACAGTTGCTTTTCCAACTGAAAAACGAATCATACTCTCGTTACAATCGAACGTTCTCTTACAACGAAAAAACTAACGTAACCACGAGTGGAGTGCGCGCGAGCGAAGGACGCACCGGAAATGGCGCGAACTCGGTGAACACAGGCGAAGGAAGAGGCGAAGGATGACAGGAACATCGGATCGGATCGTATCAAGAAGTGGGTCGAGAGTTCACGAGCCGCATAATTAAATTCTACGACGAAGAAAGCGTTTTCCCATTCGTTTCGTGACCACCATCACTTTTGCACGGACCTATGGTTGTTGGACAACCGTATTCGAAATCGTCCGATCATTATTTTGCATTTAACATGCGTGCATCTTTGCAGGTTTGCGGATTTATCTGCAGTGAGCGCCTGTTGACCAGCAAAACGAACAGCAAAAAGGTTACGCTCGAAACGCGAGGAACTTACACGAGGACGATGGTCGACAGTTACTTTTCTTCCCGATATTCTCCTCTTGGAGATCAGCAATGGACGATCTAACGGGTGCCTTCGAGGATACATTCGATAACTGAGACACGCGTCTTACTCGCGTTACGTAAAATAGGCAGAAAAAAAGAATCGTGCGAATTAATAATGTCTCCTGATGTTAATGATGTTAATGATATCTCACGAGTTTCGTAGAATCACGGTTCATTGACGTCGCTCGAACGAATTTTGAAATATTTTTATCGCGTCTTTGGCTCGTTCGAATACCGTTGACGACGCGAAGTTGTAAAAGTAGAGCGATAGATTATTTAACAGATTTAAAGTGAAAATGAAATATCGCTGCTTCCTGTGCTCTAAAAACGAAACGGGTTCGACGAGAATACGCGGAAATTGGTTATGAGATATCCGTTCCGAGGCTTGAATTGGTTAGTCGTATTATTGAACGAGATATTCGAGTGAAATTTTCCTTATGGAAAAACGAATATTTCGACGAAATAAAGGGAAATTTTATCCGATTAATTCATACAGAATCCATGCAGAAATTTGCGTTTAAACGGAAGAAAATTAAAATTATTATTCGAGAATCCGACAACTTTTCCTTTAGTTATATTTGTTCAAGCATAAGTAATATTTGTATTCCTTGAAATGCACGCATCGTTTATTATTCAATCTAATAGACGGCTAGTCGATGAAGATATCAGTAGAATACAAATAGAAATTTTAACAAGATTTGGTACCATCGATTCGTACTTAACACGCATCGTACGAATCGATCGATCTCGAATTAGAACTTGGACGATTACGCCACGAGTTTGACGACAACGTACAAACAATCTTTTCGCAACGAGATTTACAAACTAGGTTTATCGTGAAGCGAAGAGGAGGGGAGAGAAAAAAAAAAAAAAAAAAAAGAAAAAGAATAAAACAACGAAATATCAAAATTGTCCAATAATTGAACAATTTCGTTGAAATTTCTTCGAAAAACTTATTGCGCCACGCTTAATTACGAAGAAGAAAGGAACCGGGCCAAAATAGAACGATCGACTTAAAACTTGAGATTTGTGAAATCATCCGATGACTCGAGGCACCGTATGTGTACCAAGAGTCTAGGTCTAGGACGCAAGTTGGGATCCACGATGGCTATCGTGACGAGCCAGAGAAGAAGAACGTTTCGCAACCGTTTGGATCGTCCAAATTCGGCTATTCCAGGAGGCAGAGGGTCGAGGAATCGGACGAGGATGAGGCTAGATGTATCGTTCGTCGGAGAGAGAGAGAGAGAGAGAGACGAACACAATTGAAAGGACAGAGGGGTGGCGCGGAGAGGGAGGGGAAGAGAGAATCGTCTCACAGCTGAATTACTCTCACTCGAGAGGCCCCCGTCTCTTCTTCTACGTGGGGGCTTCAAGTATCCCCCTGCTTCTCGTGGAGTATAAAGGACCCTGGTCTACCTTGCACAGAGTCACAGAACAGAGCGGCATCGCAGAAGCCGACATGAATCCTCTGATCGCGGTAAGCACGATAAATTCTCTTAAATATTATCCCGAGTCGGAGAGAAAATAAGCGAAAGAGAGAAAGAGAGATAGAGAGCGAGTGTGGAGAGTGTGCATGGACTAAGTGTAGATTATCTTTTCGAAAAGTGAAACCTGCGGGATCCTCAGTTTAAAAGTGATCGGTGTCCTCGATTTCCGTCAAACGTGTCAATCCATCTATCCATTACCCGAAATTCTAATAATCTTTTCTTTTTACGATTATCGATACCTTTATCCCAGTACTCGATCGATTACTTTATCCCATAGCAGCACGTATTCGAATTTCCACGTTAAAGATGCCTTGATATCTTGCGTTGCTGCTTTCCCTCTCGATCGCGCGACTTCTCTTTCCTTACCGATCACGCTTCGATGATCGTAACGGTTTCGAATTTTCTTTCGCTCGACCATTTGGATCCAAATGCTTTTCGGACTACTTACTACTCGCTTACTTTCTCGCAGGGATTACGTTTCACTTTTTCACAAACCTTTTACTTATCGTAATATCTTTTCTTTTTCTCTCTCTCTCTTCCAGTGTATGATAGTCGGTCTAGCAGGGTTCGCCCTCGCGGAGCCACCGTCCGGCTACAGCTACAGCAGACCATCAGGGGGTGGTTATTCCTTCGGTGGTGGTGGCGGCGGCGGTGGCGGTTTCTTGCACGGCGGGGGTGGATATACCTCCGTGTCCACCGGCTATCAAACTAGCGAGGGAGCATCCATCGACGGCGCGTTGCTCGAACAGATCCGTCAGATCCTGCTGAGGGAAGAGCAGAACAGCGGATTCGGAGGAGGCATCGGCGGTGGTTACGCTCCTAGCTCGAGCTATGGCGCCCCATCCTCCCAATACGGTGTGCCAAGCTCATCCTACGGTGTACCGAGTTACCAGACCCGCGTGGTAGGCATCGATCTCGATGGAATCAGGCAGGCCATCCAGGTGGCCCAGTTCAACCAAGTGAGCCAAGCGCCTGGCGGCTATCCAAGCGGCCCGAGCGGAAGCTACGGAGTACCGAGCAGACCAAGCGGTAGCTACGGTGCACCGTACTAAATGCGGATCATCGGACTATACAAATGCAGATTGGATGATGGGAGAGTGAGAGAGAGAGAGAGAAAGAGAGAAGGAGCGAAAGGGAGAGAGCGAGTGGAGACACCGCGTCGACCACCGCGATTATCTTCCGAGCTGAAAATATTCCATCAACGAAAGCGAGAAGGAAGACGATTGAGGAGCCGATCAAGGAGAACCAGGATTACCACACAGTCGATCGATAGTAAGATATTTTTTCCAAACGAGATTCTTCCCCACGAACCTTCCGCTCGGAAGATGGTCGTAAGACGGATAAATCGTTAAGAAGAATATTAGAAGATAGAAAGATAGATCCTATTTTCGAACACGAATATCGTGGTCGTTCGACGTTGTCAGGATTCTCAAGGGGGAGAAATAAAAGGACGAAAATAAGATCACAAAGGATAGTACGTACAAGGTAACATCGAGCAGGGATTCCAAAGGATCCTGTTTCGTTGAAATCAAATCGTCGTCGCTTCAACGGGCCACGATCCTCGAAGGAATCGCGGGCGTGCGTGCTAAAGGGAAGGTACGAAAGCTCCAGATCTTTGGCTCGTTGAGGAATAAAAGGTCGTCGCTTCAACGGGTCAGGGCTCGTGGAGTGAACTTGAAACGGTTCGAACGACCGGCTGCTAGATTTAACGATCCGAGAGTCGACGGGGTGTCGTTTTCTTATCGTACCAAAATCATCGTCGTCGCGGTCGGATCCACGAGGGATCTAACGTACCAAGTGATAAAAACGAGCTGTCGCAAAAAAAGAAAAAAGAAAAAAAAAGAGAGAAAAGAAAAGAAAAAAAAAGAGAAACAAATTACTATAGAAAACGATCTCAAAAGAGATTCAATGTGTACCACCATTCGTTATGACTTCGAAATGGCACATAGCCGTGGTGCCGGAGCCGAAGTCGAAGCCGTGATCGGCGCATAGAAGCGCCTTGTAAATACAATTTACACGCTTTCCACAGCGTACGCTACGTCATCCAAGAGTACGAGGAGGAACTGAACGCCTACGTCATCGAATCTGGCCTAACAGTTATTCCAAGAAAGATCAATGATGCCTAACGTATTGAACAATTAAAAAAAGAAAAAAAAAAAAAAAAGAAAAAAGAGAAAAAAGGGATTAGAAGAAAATGAAAATCGAGAAACGTAGCGGACGCTGACACAAATATACACGTAAACACACAGATACATTATATTTTTTATATGTCTTAAACGCTACTCCTTAACCACGCATTTTTTTATACTTGTATAAAGGCTTTTTTGTAGAAAAAAATAAAAAAAAACATCGCCACCGTTGAAACAACCATCTGTGTTCAATTTCGTCTTCGCGTACTTCTCTCCAGCTCTCGTCGTTCTTTCCTTATTCTTAATTTCTCTTTCCCTTCGACCGATCTCTCTTCTCTTCTTTCGAATCTTACGACTTGGATCTTTATTCTAGGTCCCGATCCACTCGTGACCCCTGGGTGTTCGCCCGCAGCTACGTGAATATTCCTCCTCCTTTAAACACGATCAATTTTTCTTTTCCTTTTTGTCCATCGGCCGCCTTTCTCCTTTCACTGCACCGATCAGAACCAACGGTTCATCCCCTCCTCCCTTCCCGAGGGGCACACGAGCTTCTCCAACCTGGACATGACGTCAATTCTCACGACCAGCGTTTAACAGATGCTCGCAAAGCAGGCCGAAGAAGTCTGGACACCGGTCAGGGATTCGAAAGTGGTTTCGCCTCGCTATTCTACTCGCCTCGCGAGTTCTTCAACATTTTACGTACTCTCAATTTAACGTCATTAAATGTATTTTTCGAGAAGTAAAATAATCGACCGGTATCTCGAAAGCGAAATTAATAAAATTCCATTGCGGATGGAAATTCCGTACGATGGAAAATGCGTTATCAAAAATTACCGGAAACTTTTATACATGCGATTCAATATAATGGAATACAACTATAATGGAAACGTTTAAAGGATGAGTAATGAGTTGTGATACGCCGCATTAAATCGCTTACGTGTGTTTAGATTTCATTGTTTATGCAATCGGTACACGTAACAGATTTATTAAGTCAGCTGAGAATTCATGAGAATTTCCTTCATTGGAGAAGCTCATCGTCCCTGCCTTATGAGATTTATATCGTGTAACGAGAGGAATGGACGATGCATCTATTAAGATACATCTAGTTGAAAGTATAATTCAAATCGATAATAATATTTGTATAGAAAATTCTGACTATGTTCGAAGTAATCTCGATTCGATCGAGTTGGTTGTAAATCAAGTAATTAGAAATTGAGTAATCAGAGCAAGCAGAATTGAGTAATCAACCAGCATCTCACAATGCGAGGCTAGTGCAATTAAACACACTATGATGATGAAGAATATATCGCAAACCCTATATTAGAGTTAAATTAAATCATTACGCTAGGATGTTTCTCTCTATTTTACATTATTAATTTTTTCGCGCTTAATCTTGCAGGCTTTGCGCAAGATTAAGAAATGTAATGCACTTTTCAGAAATCAAATCAAGCAAATATTTGATGCTTGGAAGATATTATAGACAATGAAAAATTAATATCGAAAGAGCGGAAATTGTTGAACAAGAAAAGAGAAGATATCGCTTCTATCTAATGTATTCTCTCGTAGAATCTTTCCTCGCGATTTGTAGCAATCGAAACATCAGCTTTGTTACTAAGCTGTCGTTTTTTATGCTCGGCCATCTGGTTCCTCGCAAGAAAAAATTTCAGTTGCACGTTTTGATATGATGTGCCATTGTTAAATGATCAAAATTATCCCCTCTATTTTGACGCCATTGTCTTTTTATTATAATTCACAAAGAAATATTCGAATTCGAGAAAGTATTATTTTTTCGCTAACCATGAGAAAATCGAAATATCAATTTCGATTCAGCCATTCTAGAAAGACTTACGTATTCTTCGTACCACGTACGAAGTCCAGGGAAAGTGCGACGCCTCTTCCAGGGATGGCGAGGTCGAGAAAGGGGAAAGGAGAGAAGAAGAGGAACTGTGAGATTCTCCGTGAAATTTTGTAAGAGCTGTACATAATCCATAAACGTGCCTGCCAGGCAGAAGCCGTGCGAAAGGAAGAAAAACGCGCACGCAACGAGATCCATCCATGCTCCAGTTCAAACTTGTAGGGTGAGATTACATGCCCCAAGGATTCTTTTTTTCAAAATCACAGTTACGTAAAACGTTTACCTAAATGATAAAGAAGAAAATTTATATATTAAAATTTCAAAGATGCAATATATATATATATATATATATATATAATCTAAACTATATTAACTAATCTAAACTATATTCAACTCAGAATATTTAAATGAGTGAAAATATTCGTATACTTTCAAGCATACAATTTTTGTCTCTTGCGATATACATTTTGCTTTCTTAAAACAAAGATTTCTCATTGAGTTTAATTATTTTATTTTTTCAAAATTTACAATGAACTTTTTCCACGAAGAAGGCGTAATCATACGATCTATCAACGGCAAAGAAGTCGCGGCGTGTGAAAGGAGAGAAAAACGCGAGCATGGTGACGCACAATGCGATCCACTCGGCCAATTATGGGAAGAGGATTTGTCGAGCTCGTAAAACGTGCACATTTACAATGGTCCTGCTCGTTGTTTTACTTTCGCTAATCCCGTTTCCGCGACACAAGTTTTTCAGCTGATGCCAATTGCTTAACATACGGGTCCTGTTCTCATTAATGTGCGGATGGACGAGTTCTTTTTATGTTTCTCTAATCTGTTCGAGTATGTCGTGTTTTATAATTATGGGACTAGATAAGAATTATTGGCTGATTACTCGTATTCTTCATTTATTTAATTATGTTTGAAACTAGCAAAATTTCATTTGGTAAAAAAAAAAAAAAAAGAAAAAAAAACCAGCAATTCATTATGAAAAAAATTTCACAAATATCCCTTTTTTCTTTCTTATCTTTATTGGCGCCAATTATTTCTGATATCATAAACACGACTGATTAAAATTATTCCATCATAATCCACTGAAAGAAGTATTTATTTTTATAAATGGTTAATTAAAGATACATTTTATCATATTTTTATAGTCTAATAAAAAACAGTAGATCGTATTGTACTTCATTCTTTATCTTATTTCATTAAATTTCTACATTTAAATATCATTTTGCTCAATTTTTTAATTCCAATGATTTGACTTGATGAAGTTAATCAATTTGACTTCTGCGTACTTTATCTAATAATTGATTAAATATTTTTAAATATGATAATGTATGCACTGCGTATGTTCAATGTTCTTCGACAAACGAAGGATAATCGTTATATAAGAAATTTGTATTCCATGAAAAATCAAAACCTACACGTGTGAATCCACACGGCTAATAGCGGAGAATCGAACAGCTTCGGCCATTCGTGAAAAAAATGAGAAAAGAAGGAAAGACGAACTCTCCAATGAGAATCTACAGTTATGTAAGTCGATAAGTATTGGACGAAGGAGTCGGGAATGCAGTTTGCAATTGCAACTGTGGAAAGTACACGGGGTAAAAAAGCGGTGCAATTTTAAGAGGGGTCCATGTGTGCCCAGAAATTGTGCAAATTGGTTGATTGCACAAGCGCGTGTATCACCTTTGCAACTATTGCGGTGAAAGAAATCAAACAGAAATAACTGATTTTTTATAATATTGCCTTAAGATTTCCGTTCGAAACTACCGCGAACGCATCCAAGATTAATCGTCGGTGTAAATTAAACGCAATGAAAATTGAAATGATTGGAATTTATTTATCATTTCTAATGTAAGATTAAGCAGACACGAACAAATGAATTTCCGTGATGATTTAACATATTCACTGGATTTATTTAAAATGTGATAAATATAAATATTCATATTTTAAGATAGGTCGTGAAAAAATTATACTCGCTTTTTAAAAATAGAATTTAAATAAAAAAAATATAGAATATGATACGATTTTAAATGCGATTAAAATTAAGACGTCACGACAAATGATAGAATGTAAAGTCGACGTGACACTTGTTCATTGATTGCATGGAGATACTTCTACCCTGAGAAAGCGAAGAAGGGGAGAAAGTTACGAGAAAATTATCGGTTTCTCGTGCGCGCGCGTGCACCATTACATCGTCTGTAAATATAGAAGATGAACATGGCCAACTACTTGAATCTTCCATAACATCGAATATAATTTATAATTCATTTGTAGTTTGATTTATGATTTTTATGGTTATCCGTAACAAAAAGAAATGTACCGGAAGTTCATGTACCGATGTCAATGTACCGATAATCTACCAATAATCCAGCGTTTGAGATTAAATTTCTCTTATTTTTTTTATGAAGGATAAAGTATTAATCGGTTAATTAAGAAAACAAAACATTTACAATATAAGATTCTAACAAATAGCTTAAGTAAATAGAATTAAAATAAATATTTCTTGTATTTAACTTTTAATAATCATTTCTTTTAACGTAAGTAGTTTTTAATTACTTATTGTACAGCAATAAAATGGTGAAATTATGCAACTTACGGTATACGTCGAAATCACATGATGAACTTCTTTTTATAGACTTGTTGATGTTGTGTTTTGCTAGTTGATGTATGTTTATTTGTAGTTATTGGCGAAACGAAGGAAACAGATGTTGTTTAGTATAAGTGGAACAGGAACTGTTGGATCATATGGAAAAATAATGATTTAAAAAATTCGAAATAATTTGTTTTAAATGAATATTAAAATATGTAAATATGTATACTCTGATATGATAAAAAATTGGATATATATTATTGTATTATCTTGTGCAGAAAAATTTTTTATCCTTATCTTTATGATTAAAAATAAAAATAAAGTAAAAATAAAAAGAGATAATTAATGATATAAATAAATAGTTGATATTTCACGATATAATATAAAAGAATAACGATATAATATAAAAGAATAATATAAGAACGTTCGTAGAAATGAAAAGAAGTATTGTTACATTTTTAAAATAGTTGCATTATAAAAATATTTAAGAATGTATTATAATTAGAATCATTTTACTTATTAATGCAGCGATAAAAATAAAAGAATTTAATTGTTCATTTATGTACATCACGCTTTGACTTTTCACTGTGCATTGTCCTCTTATTTACACCATCAATTGTTTCTTTCAACCAAGCACCAGTTTCACAATTATTGTTATGATATTTAAAAATATCAATGGAACTGTAACAAAGAACACATTATACATTTAAATTAATCGTAAAATTCATTCCAAATAATTTTTTATTAATACCTCGTGCTACCGTTCGTATCGATTTAATAAGATTTAAAATTTGTGATTTAGCTGTAGCAGTTTCTCCAAAACCTTGAACATTTTGCCATGATGCCCAGCCAACTAATAAAAAATTTAAAATAAAAGATTAAAGAAATATTAAAGTAAACAAAAACAGTAAGTAAATACATATATATTATATATTTATCTATAATAAAATATAAGTACAAAATGTAACCTAACCAACAAATTTTTTCATTCAACATTTATAAATTCAAAAATGTAATAGAAACAAATAAATAGATTAAAATATAATATAATTATAAAATTATATACCTTTCGCAAGAAATCTCTCTTCGTTCAAAATACAGACCGCATTCAAACATAACACGGTTACCTCGAAAAGTGCCCACAACGTGAACGCCATGTTATATCGGTACGATAAATATTTTCTATGTAGCGCCACGAGATGGCAGACGAGTACAACTTCATATATCGATTCAAAATTGATTTGCCATCTTTAGGCTCTATCAGAAACTAAAAAGCAATGGAGTTACACAAAAAATTCAAATTAAGAATCATTCTTATTTTATTAAAATATGTTTATATATAATTTCCATCTGTTTCTAATTTTATTGACTTATGTCATATCAATTTAAACTATTTGAAGTGCTAAGAATTTATGAAATTAAATCATTTTAAATTTTTTGATAATTTTTAATAAATGCTTCCAGATGGTTTTAATGGTTCTAAAGTGATCTTCAAAAGAATCGTTCAACTTTACAAATTGTCAGTGCGTTAATACAACGAATTGTTAGGGGCATTATTCTATTTATAATAATTGACCGACAAGGCACACCTTCTTGGCAATAACGCTTTTGGAACGAGGATCCTCTAAACCGAAGTACTGTTTCTAGATGATTCGACATTCTCTTCTCAATTGAGTTATGTTAACATTTCATATGTGTCTATTTAGTTATAAAGAACTTAGATTTTATTTTATTCCCGATCGTTCATGACCTTTTCATTATTTTATCACATAATATTCGTAGCATATATATATCACGTGCAAGCAAAATTTGTGAATCTAAGTAAGAAATCTGATTATTTGACATAAATAAAGAAAAATCGGAATTTTTGATTTTCATGACTCGTGTCATGAATGTTACGACGCAATTTTTTTTTGCTTTGAATAAACAAAAATTTAAACAAATATTTATTATTAAATTTAAATTAAAAATAAATTAAATTAAATTAACTAAATTATATTAAATAATAAAAAAAATAATAAATTATTATATTTATATTAATATTTATATTAATAATTTAATATTATTTATGTAATTATATTGTATATAATTGTATATAATTATTGTATATATATGTATTATATATTTAATAAATTATACAATAATGAAAAAAAGAAATCAATCTATTTGTGGGAATTATATATGAATCAGAATTTTCAAAAGTCTGAAATTCGGAAAAGTTTTGGATACAAAAATCAATAATTTCAAGAAAATAAAAGATTTTATAAATATACAATAAACGTTTTATTTAGTAAATGGAAAATATAGGAAATTTGCAATTAATAATAATAATTTCAAATTAATAAAGTAATATTTTTTTAACAATGACGAATTCAAAACGATGATTCAATATTTCTTAATATAATAAAATTTTATGAACGAAATGAATAATCAAATAAAATTATATATTAATTGAAAAGTTTCAAATAAATCACAAAATATTTATCATTGATACATATGTGATTTATTTTCTTGGAAATATTATACAAATCATCAAACGATAAAAGTTTTATATTTATATAAAATTTTTTCGAAAGTAAAACAGTAATAAAAATTACAATTAAATATATGCAACGAACTCAAAGAAATTACATGATTCAATGCATGAATAATTTCCACGATTCATATCGTATTAAAACGTAATGGTTTGACAATAATGACGTTAAATATACTATATCTGATCGCTCGTGTTCATTATATATCATCGAGAAAAAATGGAAGAAATAAATATGGACTTTGTTCTGTTAACAGCAAAGGAAAAGAGAGAGTCGATCTATGAACGATTCCGACATTAGATAATAATTAGGATGATAATAATATCATTAAAATAGTCACGTAATTGCATCGTAATAGACAAAACTTATTAAGTTTTTCGCTTTTCTATAAACAAGCGTCATTTATTATTACAATTTTGTTTTCGATTCAAACGAACCGCATAATATGTCATCTGTATCTGCTTTGTATGCAATAAATAATAACCAACAGTGGCGACAAACTGTCGTCTAAGAAACATGAGCAAATGTTTAAACCATAGAATTAAGAATTATTAAGAATTACGTGACATGTTACGGTAATAATTTACGAGCCATAACGTTCAACAATTGAGAGGGGCAAAGGGAATGTTCTGGTAACAATTCATTTCAACCGAAAACAATTCTAATTGACTTTTTAAGAATGATTTATCTTGTCATCGTTTTGAAAAATTAATATGATCATATATCCAATCAACATTTGTTAATTTTTAATATAAAATCTTTTTTTATTATAAAATCTAAATAAAATTAGAAGATAAATATAAACATACCTGAGGAAAGTTATAACGACTATTCATATTCGATGGAATAATTTGTTTGTTCATTTTAGATGATTTTAATGTAAAAAAAAATGCACTATTCAAAAAAATACCACTAAATATCTTCATATTTTTGTTAATTTTGATCAATTGTTTTCAGAAAATTATTTGGAAAAATCACTTTGACAAAAGTTATCCTGTCTAATAAATATTAAAGTTTTGTCAGTAAACGTGAATACATCCGACATATGCTCAACATGATTGCCACACAAAAGTGGAGGGGTCTACGTATTTCTGATTGGTTAGTTTCAACAGAGAGCCTACCGAGTCCGGGTCGATGTTGCTAAAAGCTGCAGCAAGTCAAGGAACACCAGTCATTGAAACCTCGTCGTCTTGAATAGAGATAACGTTTTCACGTCTCATAAAAATCATTTCTATTTCGTTTTCACTTCGATTTTTAAACATTTTCTTCGTTGTTCACACTATATACGCAACTGTGAAACACCAGGCAGATTTCCAACATACGGTATTAAATATATCGAAGAATTGCACAACATAAAAATATCGCTAGTTATATTCGAAAGTTTTGGTGGATAAAATTAAAAGAAAGCAAATTTCAAAATTGATTCAACCAGTGTCCAAATATAACTACGTTGTTTTTGGGTGGAAAAGAGAAAAAAAAACAACAAAAGGGTGAGATATATTTTACAATATAAATATACCTAAAGAAGACGGTAGAGGAGACGAAAGGGGACACCGGCGTACAAGAGGACGGTGAAGCAGCACCGTGACTATGTAAACTACTAATAAATACTTGTGGCAGCGCGTGCGCACAGCCGAGCACATTCTTTAGTAACAATACGAAACAACGAAATAGCAACGTGATAAAAAAATTGCTGACAATAAAACGATTAGATAAATCAAGGGTACATAGAGGGTTACTAAGAAAAGTAAAAAAAAGCGGAGAACTGGGCTTTTCTTCAAACAAAGACAAAGAAGCACGCAAACTGGCTCCGGAGGTGAGGATCAAGCAAATTGGAATGAGGGAGGACTTGTTGTCCATAATCCGGCACACAAGCAGCGATCATTTTTCGGAAGAACTTTAGCCTAAAAGAAAACGGCAGAAGAAATAAAAAGAAAACTAGCAATAGGCCATTGTTTACGAGTATTCTATACAAATAGAGGGCTCTCGCTCGCTGGATATTTCAAGTAAAAGTGTTGCCAGGATTTCATTCATCTTTGCTGTTATTGTCTATTTACTGGCCTTTCACTTTGAGAAGAAGCAATAAATCTAAATCTTTTGTCGTGTTATGCCCTGGGTCGTTACCTGTTTTGACCTGTTGGCACCGATTCTTGGTTATTGTCTGGCCATAAGAAAATTAGCACTGCAAGCCGGAATTTTTCAGGAAGAGAATAATAAATCAATCATACGACAGGCAGCTAATTCATCCAATACGTCGAATAGATCGAAGAAAAACTCGTTGAGCAGCGAGATCATGGCTCCGAGTGCTGAGGAACAACGTCAAGGTAAAATGATTAAATGGAACACTAGTAATATAAGTTTCTTCTTGTTGGTATTATTTACTCGTGTCACGTTCGATAGATTATTCAATAGCATTTTGAATCTTATTGCGAAATATTTGAAAAGAACGTAGTTTTCTCATCGCGAAAACATTAAGTTGCATATAAAACAAGGCAATTGCATATATATAAATGTAAATTTAACAAAAAGTTTCTGAATATGATATTTAATTTTACTTATTTGTTTATTCGATATTTTTCTACGTAAATTCTATATATCATATTTGTTTTCATGTTTTTTTAGAATCAGTTTCTTTTTTGTTTTTTAGAAAATTAAATTATAATTTCACAAAACTGAGTTCTGCATTAAATTAGATTTCGCTATAAATAAGACGCAATAAATAGATATTCATGGCGACTATCTGAAATTCGCTTGACAAATAAAAATTCTCGATGTTTAACAAATAATTCATACGATAGATAAATGTAATGTATTTTTCATTAAAAAACTAAAAGAATAAAAGAAATATTTACAATTGCCTTTTGCAATTATCATTTTATCATTTCATTCTATTTCATTTTATTAAGATGTTCAAATAATTAAGATCTTTTATATATATGTATGGATAATTAATATCTCATCTTTTTTGTCATTTATTATTAATCAATCAATCATGCTTTTCAAAGAGGCGTTTCTGCGTTTTGCAGTTGATTCCCTTAATCTTTGTTTTAACAACGATAAATTTTATATCAATAAAAAAAATGTGACTGGCATGAGAAAAAATGAAGGCTACCAGCAATAAGAAAAATAAATGAACAAATCATATCGAGAAAATCGATTATCGCTCATATCATTGTACTTGATCATTTATTTGTATTCAAAGAGAAATAGAATTTTTTTACATTTATCTAAGTTTTTTTTAAAAATTTTATGGTTTTTGGAATAGATCAAACTAATATTTTTAAAATTTTGAAACAAATACGATATATCTTCACTGCAATTATATATACAATTATATAAAATCATATTTAAATTCAATAAAACAAATTTTCTGTTAAATATTTTAAATGATCTAATAATATATTCTAGTAAATTCTAATATATTCTAGTATATTCTAGTAAATATTAAAATTTAATATATCAGAATGAAATCCAAAGGTCTATAAAAAATGATAATAATGAATTATTAGCATTTGCAATAAAATAAATTAACAATAGATAATTGAATGATGAAGTAAATCAATAAAACAAAATCCTCGTGTCTCTGATATTTAGATAATTATTGTAGTATCAAGTAGATGTCAAATATATTTTAAGACATGCGATTAATATTTTAATCTAATCTAATAGAGCCAGTGATACGATAGAGACAACAATTTTTATTAATATTTTAAAGAACGTAAAAATTCGTTAGAGATTAACCTCGTAACAAAGCGTGAAAGGATTAAACATGGAAGGGGTAGAAAGAGAAAGAAACGAAAGGAAAAATCCCGTCAAGGATATTCCATGGGGAGATATTAAAATCGCTTTTGAAATGAGAAAATATTGCATACACATCATTGCAAGTTTCATGCTAATAATCCTAAAAGATCCTAAATCCTAAATCATAAATCACGATCAAGGGTGTGCCATGAATTGTTACCTTTGTGTATAGCTATATAGTCATGCATTGCAGTTAAGATAATTATACTGTCCTTGCAAATGCATACGATATGTAAGTAAATACTAAAGGCAAAATACATAATTGCTGATAGTCAATTATGAAAGTCCGTATCATATCGTAAAATGTTTTACATTTAGTTGACGCAAATGTTTCTTATCTTGAACTTGTTACGGTTGTTCCAATTCTTTATCAAATGATTTTCTCTTCTTTTTATCATGCTGCTTAAGTCATCGTACGATGTTTTAAGGATATCTAGTTCGTATGAATTTTTTAAAACAATGATGATTTTTTTCCTTTCAAAAAAATCGTTAAAGTCCTGGATATATGTATATACCAATACGCGTGGGTAATTCATATTGCATTGCCCGTTCTGATGCAACGAACAAAGTTTCCTACACCAAGCCGATTATCGATTTTCCGCCACTGACCTCGTTTATATCCTGCGTATGAAACTTGTATAAGAGTAAAAGTATACAAAGAAATAATATAATATAAAGAATGAAATGGACAAAAAGAATCTATTTTTAAATATTAATTTTATCGAAAAATTCTTATTCATTGTCTATATTCGAATTATTATTAGTTCAATATTATTTCGCAAATATAATATAATTTTTTATCATTAATATTTGCATTTACAGGTGTGTACTTGCATTAACATGAATAACGCGATGACTATACGGATAAGGACTCGCATGTGCGTCCGACATGATTTGAATAATGAATCAAATAACGATAGAAGTCTCAGGTCAATGCACCAACTATTAAACTTCTTATTTCATGATTATTCTCGATGTAAAACACATCGTTCGATATACTCGAGCAACCGTATCGATTGACTATCGTATAGATTTATAATCTCATATATGTAACACTTGATGTTTCATTTTGAATTATGAAACAATGTATTAGATCATACGATCATTGGTGTCGAAAAAACATCCGTTTTCTATAGACGCGTTTTGTATTTCAATATTGATTGTGATGAATCGTTTTAAATAGGTAACAAAAAACATGAACTCTTTGATCCCGAGATTAAGATATAATAATTAATACAACTTTGTTAATATTATTAAAAAATACAAACATATAAGTAAAAATTAATCACATACGATGAAATTGTTTCATGGCATATATATTTTCGTTATAATAATAAAAATCTATCGTATATTTGTTAAATTAATTTAGAAAAAACTGATCATTTTTGTAAATTTCGATTTTTTCATTCAAGAACAAATTGAATTATATATTGAAAGTGTAGTTATCATGTATCTATTTCAATATTTTTTTTATGAAACGAGATAATATTTTTTTGTCCGTTTTTTGCCACATTGATTTCTTTATGTTATAAATATTGGGTTAATAATAACAATAATAATAATTTCCAGAAATTTTTATATTTATTTTTGTACATGAACTTTAATCCATTTTATATTTCTAATATTTTGTGAACTATATATAGATAGATATTATTATTATTATTATTATGTACTATATATATACTAGATATTATTATTATTATTATTATTATTATTATTATGTACTATATATAGATAGATAGATAGATAAGTTATATTTCAAGATTTAAATTCTATTTTTAAACTTATTTTCTTTATGCTCATGAAACAATTAGAACATTTATATTACAGTAATTGAATGAAAGAGCTTAATCAGAATATTGAAGATACGGAAGGCAGAATTACCTTTGAAATTAATAATGTAAAAGCAACGGCAATGAAAATGCAGCCAAAAGTACTCGTGCAACGAGAATTCTAAATATAAAATTCACTAACGTTGGCAATGTGGGAACTAATACGAAGGCAATCAGTACTTGTTCGTAATTCGCACGCTTACGAGTTGTTCACTAATAGCATTTACTATTATCGATACCATTTAACATTATCGATTCAATACTAGTTTAAAATCGAAGATTAAACGACATTATAATACACTGTAAAACATGTGTATGATCGGTAAGGATTATTTTCGTATTTTTTTTCGACTAATCAATAGTGAGAGAGATCTTGATCCCAGTGAAACATAGCTTATGTTAATTGAATAATATGCAATTTCATTGAATGTAAAATTCATGATTTATTTTGTTCCATGAAAGATTGAATATTTTATAAAACAAAACATTTTAATATTTTTATAAAGGAAAAAGGAAAAGAAATACTTTGAAAAACGAAATTTATAAATCTCATTTCAAAATACATAAGACAATAATTTATTTCTTAAATATTGTCACAATATTATAATTCGATTCGGTGAATACACGTCACAAGCGTGCTTACTGATCATTCAAATGGTGGCTGGCTAGTTTGGAACAATGCCAGCTCTATCATTGTTAGTTTGGTGCATATCTTAAAGTGGATCATTGTATATAAAAACGAATAACTTACACATGTAAAAAATTTAAAATCATACGTCTATTTTAATCGTATACAATCGTTAATTTTATGATTAGTATATATTTTTGTATCCACTTTCGTTTCATAAAGAATATTTAATAAATCACGATAGCGATACATGAATTGATTGACGAGAATATATAATTATATAATAACTGGCAACTTATCATTTTTTTCTGTTATTTTCAGAACCTAACAAGGATAAAATCAGTATAAGGACGCAGGGAATAATGAAATCCCCGCGTAAATTCGCAGGAGTTGTGATAGCGATGTGTGGTTTACCAGGTCGTGGAAAAAGCCAAGTGGCTCAATGTCTTTCGCGTAGGCTCAACTGGAATGGCGATTCCACCAAAAGTAAGTAATACCTTTGTTTGTTATCTTAATACTTGATAAAGAAATATATGCATATTTACAAGAATTCGCACTTTTGCGATATTCCTAATTTATTTTCAATTATTCCTATTTTTTTCTAATTGTTTTAATTATTCTTTTTTTTTTTCTTTCATTAACGATTATTCATAGATATAAATATACATAGTTAACTTTATCCTCTTTATTTCCATATTTTAGCATATTTATAAAATATCGATTTTTATATCATAAGCAAACAGTTCACGTGATCAAATGTTTATGACATATGACTTGTTATGAAATAACGAATGTATTAAGAATTTTTCGACTCCATTTTCATAACAAAGTATTTCATAACATACTTTTCCTCAAGCTTTTTACTGTCTACTTTCGTGCTACACAAAAAGATATCATTTTTAAATCTGGAAGTCTAAATTGGGATAGTACTTATTAATATTATTTTCATCATCATAACTCATCTTTTGAAAAAAATTTTATGAGAATAATCGAAAAATCTAGTTATTATTATATTTTTTATTTTTTTTATTTCCAGTAATGAGTGTCAGCGATTACCGGAGAAAAAGATTGGAACCATACGGTGAAGCAGTGTCTCATGAGCTATTTCGTCCTGATCACACTGCGAATACAGCATTAAGAGCATTGGCCCAACGAGACGCAATGCATGACTGTGCCGCGTGGCTCACAGCCGGGAATTCCGTAGCTGTAAGCATCATCGAGAAAATTAAACATTTTGCCAGAAGATTGGCGAAAGCTTGAAACTTGAATCGCGTCTTGAGATGAATCCAGTATCGAGATTTGAACGAAAACACGCGCGGTTGCATCCAATATGAAGCAATTGAAACAAATCCAGTCATTGCACGCTTGACAGGAAGGAAAAATATAGTTGATTTTTTTTCTCATGGAAATAAGACAAGCAAGAATTGTCGCAAACGAATATAAATATTCTTATACTAACGATGGACAACGTGATAAGACAGAAGCCGGTTGTGCCAGTCTACCTTTCTCCTAGTAAAATCAAATCTCGTCCTACGAGTTTTTCTTGCTTAATATACTATACTTTTTTAAACTAATGTTTTATGATAGAAATCGTATTGGCGTAGAAGATAGCTTAAAATCATTCCATTATTTACATATTGTATATTTTAAGATAGTGAAGAAGTAAATACATAACATATTGATAAAAGTAATGTATTCTAAACCGAATCGAACATATATAAATTCGTAATTAATTGAATATTTTTCAAGCGAATATTTTTTCCTAAATATAAAATAAAGGAAAACATTAGAAGAAACATTCATTGAAATTGAATTCGATTGCGAATAGTATTGATACAAATATATTAATAAAATAATATTAATTAAGAATTTTTCTGTTTGAAGATCCTGGATGCCACACTGGTAACACGAGCGCAGCGCGCCGAGGTCTTTGATTATTTTTCTGGACAACTTGGTTATCGTGTCCTTTTCATCGAGTGCATCTGCGACGATCCGATCGTTCTGGAAAGAAATTACAAGGATATATTGCGATATAGCGCCGACTATGCTGGCATGGATCCGGTACGAGCTGAGGAGGATTTACGCCTCAAAGTAGCTCATTATATTAAATCTTACGAGCCGATGGACGAGAAGACGTATCCTCGAATCCGTATCGATACTGGCAGCATGGACATCGAGACTTGCAAGGTGTCAGGCCATGTGGAGTCAAACGTACTTGGATATCTTGGAAGTGTCACGGTCAAACCGCATACTCTTTATTTCTCTCGGGTTGGTAATCGATTAAATTTTATACTTGATACCGATTTTAGAAACGTTCGAATCTATGATACTTTTTTACGAAGCAAACATTTAAAGACACAGGTTATTTTTAATCATATATAATAAGGCGCATTGCCACGTTGAGTCAGGTAATGGTGCTTGTAATCATTGAATGGATTAATACACGTAAATAAACACTTCATTTTCAACGATATAATTTCATAATAAAGTTTGATATATTATTAAAACACGCTTTGTGTTTTCAGGATTACGATATCTTATCAAAATCTGATGCTTAATATGATTATCTACAGGAATTTATACTATTCTTATCTCATTGATCTTATTGCCATTTTATTTTTTGCTTTTTGATGTCATTACATTTTAATTACAATATTATTTATAACGTTTTTCTCGAATTATTGAATTATACGAATGGCAAAAAAAAAATAGAAGTCTTTCTCAATTACAGCACGGCGAAAGCGAGTTCAACGTATTGGGTAAAGTCGGTGGCGATGCGGTATTAAGCACGCGTGGCGAAAGATATGCGCAAGCATTGGCCACAAAATTCAATGCTATGCGAATTCCTGATTTGCGCGTATTGACCAGTCGTCTTCGAAGGACTATCGCGACTGCACGTGGAGTAGAGGCACCTCAAGAACACGTAGCGGCACTTAACGAGCTCCACGCTGGTATATGTGAAGGTCTTTCTTACGAGGAGATGCAAGAGCATTATCCGCAGGTAATTCGAGATCTGAAACGAGTTTCAAGACATTCTGAAACATTTTTACAATTTGTATTTAATGCAAATTTCAATAGCCTTAATGAAAACTGAAAATTTCTTTGGATTAACTCTCTTAACTTTATCAGTCTCTCTTTTATTTTGCATAATTTAAATATATATTATATATAAGTAAAAAATACTTATATCTATTTCTTGAAAAGATAAATTTCTAAGACTTAATCCAAAGAACCGTTTGAAATAATTAACGTTTAACTTTCTGAAACTTTCATGTAGTAGAAAGTTTAAGATAATTCAAATTTACATAATCTTTCACATCTGAAAATCGATTCTTTTAATTCAGGAATTTGCATGGCGCGATCAGGACAAGCTGCGCTATCGTTATCCATGGGGAGAAAGTTACATAGATGCGATGCAACGTGTAGAACCGGTAATTGCTGAATTGCAGAGATCTGACAACGTCTTAGTGGTTTCCCACCAAGCTATTCTGCGTTGCATTATCGGTTTCTTCATGGATAAGAAGCCAGAAGAGCTGCCTTACATGGAAGTACCATTGCATACTATCATCCGAGTTAGCAGCCAAGGTTATAATTACACGCTCGAATTTTTCAAGCTACCAATCGAGTGCGTGAATACTACCCGTGTCAAGCCGAATAATTGTAGCGCTGATAGAAGCGCGGATGATGCTCTGATAACAGTCCCACCGCATTTCGATATACCGGATCCCTGGAGAAATCCTGGCAGTGGACCTACTCTCGTCCAGCAACACTGAGAAACCGCACGACGATCCACGATCTCGTCGAAAATTCGATCTCTGTTCGGTTGCAATTTCAGATTTTAATAGGAATATTTTGAAATTTTGGTTAAATTTAGATAGAATGGGGATTAAAATTGAAATATTATACAAAAAAATTGAGAATAATTTTAGAATGTATGTAGATCGTTTTAAGGTATCTTATCGTTTTAATTTAAATTAATCCAGTAAGGTCAATTGATATATTTGCCGATATCGTGGAATAAAAAAAAAAAAAAAGAAAAAAAAAGAAAAAAAAGAAAAAAAAAGAAAACAGGATCGATTTAATTTTTGAATAATTTATAATTTTTGAATATTAATTCTATTTAGAATGATGATTTCGATTTTCGATTATTTAGTTTTGTTGACGAGAAATTTTTTGACACTCAATTTTTCTTGGAGAATTTTATTCTCATTGGCAGCAATTCTATATCCTGCTGCGGAGCCCTCTATATACATTTAGTTTTATTAGGAATTATATATCTAAACAATATTGTATTAGTTATATATCGTAGGGAGTAGATTATACGACAAATATTTTAATTGTACATTTAAATGTGAAAAGGCAGATAAGATTGAATTGTAGGGGATGCGAAGCACGGTCTCTCGTATCATCATTTTAATTTCAGAATAAATATTAATGCAACGAATATAGGAAAGATATTTCATACTATTTAGATCATAGAGTTTAAGCTTATGACATTTTCTTAGTTCCTAAAATAATCATTTTATCTTCGAAATTTCAACGACGTAAGGATTTTTAATAGACAATTGAAATTATAGCATATATGAAATTTAACTATTAAATTAACGATATCTCTGTTAACAAATAAATAACAAACATTTTATTTATAGATTAGAAAAGTGATAGATAAATATGAATTTTTACGCACATTAGGATAATTGTTAAAAGCGCATTGTCTTTTAAAAAAGTATTTTTCACTATATGAGAACACGAGAAACAGTCTACAATTGCTTTATACGAGAGGCGTGTTTTTTCGTCGATTGCGTTTCGATTAGGATTGTATATTAGTAAATGTATATTGGTAAACCGCATAAATGAGCATAATATTTCATTAGGCATCACGTGGAAATCTTCGAGCATTTGCTGTAAAACATCCTCGAGGATTCACGAATGCAGAATGTGAATTAGAATGAAAAAGAAAAAAGCTGTACGGGTCTATTTATTACGAAACGATAAGAGAGACAAGAAAAGAAAATGGGAAAATTATTTTTTTATATAAAAATTGAAAAAATGTTTTTTACCCCGAACAAAAATTGTTTCTCTTTGATTTTCACGAAATAAATAAAAAAGATCATCTAGTCTATTCATTGGCGAACATTTTGACATTTATTTCTATTTTCTATTTTTCTGAGAGACGAAATGGAAGATTGTGGAGCATTTAGGTGTCTAAATCGTATTGTAGATATTTTTAAAATTTCTTGATTTATTCCCTTTCTTTCTTTTTTTTTTTTTTTAATTATACATTATAAATAAACGTTTTTTTACAAAAAAAATCAACGAACCCATGACCTGAATTCTCAAGTTCACAAATTATCATTCACAAAATAATCTTCTCAATTCAGCTTTAAGTTGTTTTATAATTCACACATTTCGTATACATGTATCGTAGAAAAATAATTTATACCGTGACTTCACGGTCTCAACTTTCACGATTAACATTCGATGACTAGAAGTGTACATGACTAGAGTGATTTCCTAAGAGACAACTCTCTATAAATCTGATTAGATCAAACATCGTTAATACAAAAACCCTGATGAAAACTTAGAAAAAATTCTTAATTACATATTAATAGATTAATCGGAGGATAAAAATATTCGAAAAAGTTTCATTGCGATTCGAACACGACAAAAAACATGACAAGATAATAGGAAAATCCTATTGGCATTCATCTTACATGCCCAGTCTCATCAACTTGGCCGTGTAATCTCTTTGTTTATTGGCCAAGTGCAGATCCAAACTCCTTAGCATCCTGTCACGAATCTCTTGATCGCAAATTGAACTTTTCCTCAAACCGGTCCTACGATGGGCCATCCTCGGTTCGTTCCTCGAATAAGTCCCCAGACGAAACCCTGATTGAAACGATTTTGTTGTTGCATCGCGTCGAGTTTCGCGAACTGCATTCTTCATAAACTCGATTGCAGTTCTACGGCAGGTGTCGTAACCCAACAGTTGAATTCTTTTACCGTGAATCGCGTCCAGTTGAGAATTGTTCGGCTTAGTCATCCTCTCCACTATTTTTCCAACCGTGTCGGGTGTTCCCGGCAGATCCTCGAATACCTTGCGAATAACTTCCTTTGTCAGGTCTTCCTCGCTACTGGATTCACCTGGCGAGAAAGATTTCCAACTGTTAATTCTTCCGACTTCCCTATTCAATTTATCGCGAGAAATTAGAAGCGCGAACACGAACTCGTAATTAATATTGTCGAAGTCGTTTAACTTTTCGCTGGATTAGAAGCTGGATATCGAGAAGATTTCTCGAAGAAGTCGGGACAAGAGAAATATTTCAAAGTTCCAAGAATCGATTAACGATCAAGGATCTTAAGGCGGTGAATTTACCGAATAAATTACTTACCGAGGTCGCTGGTACGATCTGACGTGTACGTTCCCTCTTTGATCTCTCGTTGCAATTCCAACACTCTTGCCAGCGCCAACTGCAAATACTCCCTGGCATTTGGCTCCTGTATAAACACCAAATGCGTATATACATACTGTTAAATACCTTATTTATAACACTTTCGGTTTATAACACGGAATCAATAATATTTCACTCGTAAAACTCGTGCTATTTCACATTAAATTTACCTCTACTGACTTTGCCTTCTTGCTGTCGCCGTTTCCATCCATCAAACAGGGTGCCTATTCCACACCAAAAGAATACGATCAAAACCAATCTCGAATTTTCGCGAGACTTGCGGCGAATAAAATCACTTACCGACGAGTATCTTTTCATCTTTTCCGTAATTCTAACAAAACTCGAAGGAACTTCACCATCGATCCACTAAAAGACCTTTCACAAACGGGCACAAAGCAACAGAGTAGTCAAAAATAATTCCTTCCTCTTCGCTTAAGCCTCTCAGCTTCTTTCTTGCTCCTCGGATCAGAACAGTTTCCCCTCCGAATTAATGGCCCCTTTTGTCCGTCCTCAGTCTCTCCTTTTCGTCTCTCTCTCTCTCTCTCTCTCTCTCTCTCTCTCTCTCTCTCTCTCTCTCTCCTCAAAAGAACTTTCACAGAATACGGTAGTTCGAGAATCAGGAAGACCGTTGACTGGCGTCGATCGACATCGACTAACCACGTCGAAATCGCGTAGCCCTTGTTCCAAGAGAGTCTATTGCGAGGGTGACGGTTTGCCATGGCTTCACCCCCTCCAGCTCCCTGTTTCGGAACCCTTGGAAATGTGCCCCTTGCATTCGAATGGGCAAATGGGTCTCCCTTCCCTGCAGATGCGTGTACCATTGTACCGAGAACCCCTGTTTGCTCGACGCGTGCCCTGTGCCCGATAAAAACGGCTGCCACGCGCCCCTTCCTCCAAACGGAATACGTTACGGAATAGCTTAGAATAGCAGCCGTGGAAACGATATCTGTTACCGGACAGACACATAAATCTTGCTTCGACGAGTTCCCACCACCAAATTTTCACCAAAGTATAAAGTATGAAAATATCAAATTATAGGATAGAGTGAAAGAAGGAAATGAAGATAAAGATTTTTTCCTCGTCTCGTATCGATCGCGCCTTCGTTTCACGCAACTACGTGCCATTAAGAGGAATTCTCGATTTGTTTTTCATTCTCAATCTTTGCAACGATGAATAATAAAACATGGCTGCGGCTCTCGGATCCGATTCGTTTATTTGCACTCCGTGCAACGACGTCCTCGCGCGAGTCGTGAACGTTTACCTTCTCGCCTCGATGGGAATAACAAACCAAGCTCTGGTCCGATTAAATGAATTTTTATTCGAGCCACACACGCATGCACGCACGCACACACGCGCAGAGAGTCGCATGGCACGGTTGGTCAGGCCCGGCCGTTTAACTTAATGCATAATTCGTGCCTTGTATCGATTCGTTTGGAAACGCTTTCGTCGATGCGTGGCCTAATTACGGTTATAATACGGGTATCGAGAAGACGTCCAGGCGTTATCTGAACGACGGGAACGTCTACCACGTCCAGGGAAACGCGGCCAATAGTTGCGCGATACTGGAAATCTCGTTAACAGGGGTGCACGTCAAACAGGAATTCCCGATTAACAGGCGAAGGGGGCAAGGTCGTCAGGCCAGAACACAATTAATGCACAGATATCCCTTCCATTCGCCACTCTAATTAAATCTCTCGCGGCGCGCATTCAATAACGCCTGGGAATCCTCTCTCTTCTCTTCTCGCATTGTTTAGTTCTCTGCGATACAATTCGTTGAGCCCTTTCATCCAAGATCGATGAATATATATATATATATATATATCGTGATAAAGGGAGGAGGGAGGGATGGAGGGGCGAAGGGGAAAAAATGGGGTGGGATTAGTTGTAAGTATCGACAGAGGCCGCGTTGAATTAACTCTTTCGTATCGCTCAACCCTGAATCCGATAATAGCGATCGTCTCTCTCGCGTCATTTTTCTAGAGAATTTAGAGTTTATCCTAAGATCGATCGGTATCCTCGTTGGCGCGTTTTTTATAGCCTAAATCCATCGCCGATAATCAATCAATCGGTTGAAAGATAATTGTCCAAAGTGAATAGAATGTTGATTATCGTCCGCCTCGAGGAAACCGTTCTATTGTCCGTATTACTGTTGCTTGTATTACCTGTTTTGGTATACACAGGCATATCAGAACTCGAGGAAATTGGTCGAAAGTGTCGGTGGCTTTGTATCGAGGACAGATTCCTATATAGAATTGGCCTTCGATTAAAATATCTTCGTTCTAGATCTAATTTGTCAGTAATCTTAACAACGTTGAAAATTCTTAATCTACGTTTCTTAACATTCTTAGGTCGGTATTCGATTAAATAAAAAAATGATGAACGAAGAATTTGACTTATTCGCGTTTCGTTCCCAGTCCTTGCATACTTTTTACAGTATCGCATAAATGAAATATTCATCAAATATGTCTTACTTCCAATCTAATGGTCCTCGATTATCAACATCTTTTTCTTTTTTTTTCTCCCCTTGTATTTCTCGAGATCTTTCTCAAAAATTACTTACAATCCATCTCCGCATCAAGTCGGCCTCGTGGTCTCTTCGCTCGGTAATTCGTAGAGAGCCGTCGAGTTCAGTTCCTGAGTATGTCTTCGAAACGTGGATCCAAAGCTGGTTTCATTGAGCGTGTCCTGTCTACCCACGCGTCTCCTTTGCGAGAAATTTATTCCCCGATTACTGTTCCTATCCGAACTATCTGTCGTCTCCGTTCGACATATTCTTCTACTCCTTCTCGGTAGACAACAACAAAGATATTTGTTGAATCTATAAACAAAATCTCTGTTCATTGATATATACGAGTGCATATATAACATATGAATTGCGAAATTCTATATTTAATGCTAACCTTCACGCTCGTTTGTTTATTTACATTTCTGAGCTGTTTGTTTACATATGTGGGAGGTTTGTTTACATTTCCCGAGTGTTTATTTACTTTTTCGAGTTCTCTGTTTACACCAAATCTTTTTATATCTTTAATCGTTTGTTTCCATTTGCAGGTTATTTATACATATGTTTAATCGCGATAATGAACGATTTGAATGGAGAATTGTCATCTCATTGAATACACAAAAATTGTAATTGAAGGAATCGAGGAAAGGAAAGGGGTCTGTCTTTTCTCTTCTGTTATTCTTATTCATAGGGCGTAGGAGTAGTGTCGTGCAATGGCATTTTTCGATGGACCCTGTGTTATAATTCATTTATGCCGTTATACTCGCCTCTTGCGAAAAGTTCCGCTGATAAAGTAAAGTGCAATAGGATTGACGCAGCTGTTGATGAAGCTCAGGCAGAAGCCGAGGATCCTGAAGACGTGCCAGAAATCGTCGTAGTCTTGCTTGGACGATGGACAAAAATGGAACCATAGCATGAACACGTGATGTGGCAGGAAGCAAATAAAGAAGATAACTACGAATGCTATCACCATCTTGCCGACCTGTTGATCATATCCATTAGCGATATTGAGAAAATGGATTAATCAAGTCATTAAAAAAAAAAAAACTTTAATCTCTCGATTTCGAATAATTGTTTCGATTTCAACTTTTGATATTTGATTGCTTACGATAATATTATTACACGTTTTTACAATCTTCAAATTTTATTTCTAATTTCCTTTTATTAGCAGTCTTGTCTTATCGTGAAAAAAAATAGAGATCGATAGAGACAATGTCGCGGAGAAAGATTGTTTTTTCAGAACGAGTATAGACACTTCACTTCACGAAAAATAAAAAAGCGATAACGGAAACTCGTTCGAATGAATCGATTATTTCGATTGCGTCTTCGAGTGGATTGGCAACAGATAGCGATTAAATTGAATTTCGTCCACGCGTAATTCCAAAGCGATATCTAAAAAATTAAATTTGGCTTTCGATCGACGTATTCATAAGTTAATCGATTACATTAATTGGATGGATTGTTCCACGAGATAACAATGTTCGATAACCAAACACGATTTTTCGAAACGAGTGTCGGATAGTTTCTTGTTATCGGAATGGATTAGGGAACGGCTGAATGGATTCTACGAATGAAAACATGGAAGAAGTAAAAGTAAGAAAAGTGGTTGAAAGATTTCATCGTATCTCCAGTTGCCACGCTTCGATGCCATCCTACGTTGAATGATTCAAACCGAACTGGAGCATCGAATTGATTAAAAAAGTCACTTTTAAAATATACGATAAAAATTTTATCTCGCAGAATATTTCACTGTGCATTTATTCAATAGTGAAAGTAATAAATAAACAATTTATAAATAGAATATATTTATAGAGAATATATTTATAGATTTATAAATAGAACGATATAGAAAAATAAATAAAAGAGAAAGCGAATTTTCCTCGAAAAAATAAAAAGTGCGATGCAAAAATGAATTTTTATTCCATATCACGTACAACAATTACAAACAAATTATTAAATGATGCGAGGTTGAACCAATTGAAGGAAATTGAAATATTAGCTTGTCGTGAAACTTGTGGATGTAATTCAAGATGATCGACCGTCGCTTTTCATTCGGATACAATGTGGAAAGTGTAATAGCTTCCATCCCAACGATGCTTTAGAACAACTCTATCCACGGTGATTTATAATTGGCCTTTTCTCTCAGAAATTATTGGACTTGGCTTGCTTTACAGAGGCTTAACCGTCTATCAATTTAAACTTATATCGCTTAACCATTTATCCCATCACATACGAAAGTTACTCTGCAACTATTGTACATGCCAACCAATACTATTTCGATGAAAATTATATCGATAAAATTTTGGATTTTACGTATAAACTTTATTTTCTTCTTTTCACCGTACCTTCTTACGTGCTTTAATTTGTTCCATACGATGACATCCGGTGGACAACTCGCCTGGCATATTCCTGGTGGATAGTTCGAGGTGTCGTGCCATCCCCAGATAGAATCCAGTTATCACTAGCAACGGTATCGCATAGTAAGCGAGGAACTTGAACATCACCATTCCCTTTTGATAGCTCTGTCCTGCGATCCGAAACGAGATATATATATATAAAAACGATACACGCGATACATACGATACGACTTGGTGCATATGATTCGAGATAAATATTGAAATAGCGATGGTAAATAATTTTTATTTATTTTTTTTTTTTTTTTGCTTAAATGAAATATTGGTTTCCCAGATAAGGGATATTCGTTTGACGTGAAATACTCACCGAATTCCTCGGGGAAGGGACTACAGATCAGGATAGAATGATTACTCTGTAACGGTACGGTGGGCACGTAAGAGAAAAAGGCAGCTGGCATCGCCAAAACAATTGCCAGCACCCAAATAAGGCAGGCTGTTAATATCGTTAATGGTTTTGCACTGAGCCCGGCTACATGGCGGCGAATTGGATTCACGATGGCACAGTACCTACGGCGCAACAGGCATCCTTTTCTTCTCTATTCATAAATTCATACATTTTACAATCGTTTTTCTTTTCTTTTTTTTTTTTCATACAATCGTACACAACGCGAATCGAACTTCCTCGACAATTACAATTGAACAACGATAAAAGTTTTAACAACGGGATTGTAGAGGGACATCGAAGGAAAATTTTAATTCAACGTTTAAAGTTTCGTTTGGATTACTGATTAAACAGACGAACGACCAGTCGATTGGTCCATTAATGGGGCGGAACTTTGTCAAAGTTGGAAGAGCTGCCCTATCCCTGGGACAACAATTTCCCAACCGTAACTGGATTTGACAACTTACCTCTCGGCTGATAACGCGGTCAGAGTGAAAACTGAGACACCGATCGAAATATCCTTGGCGCACTCCGATAATTTGCAAACTGCCAGGCCCCACGGCCATGACTCAATCGTGTACAGAAGCGACGTGAACGGTACACACGTTATGATCACCTATGATTGATAAAGCTTCGATAAATACTCCGTATTTTCTAAAAAAATCATAAGCGAGATGTTTAATTAGAATTTCATTGTTGGAAACGATCATTATTGGAAAATATTTTTGCGCGATCCTGCCGCGAAATTTAATTAATTCGGGCATTATTTACGATATATGGAGAAAGGATAGAGAAGGCTAATCTCCAACGGAGATGAAAATGATATTTGCAGATGGCCGGAACAAAATTCGAGAAGCAATAAAATAAATAGTACCCGACAATTTGTAATTGCGCGAGAAACATTTATCAACATTTATCAACATTTATGAATGTGTCGTTGTTGCTCTAGCAAATTGAAATTAAAATGTTAAACGCCCGTTTATAGGGAGTAAGCACAATTAAAAATATTCGCGACAAATTGAATAGATCGCAGCTTGTCATACGATCGTGTTTATATTATAGAACAGCACACCGAGAGATATTTTATAGAAAAATATTCTTCGATCAATGCTTGCCATCTTCTATTTCAAATATGTGCGTATATTTTTTATATTTTACCAAACGATAGAGAAATTATGATAAAGAGCCATCATAGAATATTCATAGTCGCATAATCATCAAAACACGCGTCTTCTTTTCGTGCTTGAACGCACGATTATTATTTAAAAAAGTATAATTGTTGATACAATTTTTATTCGCGATATATGCGGATGATAAAACCGCATTGATCTTCGATAAATCCTCTGCATAGTTATAAATAATACATCGATCAAAACGCATATGTGACGAACTCGTTATCGAAAATACACATACACATTGAATCACATATAAAAATATTGTTATCTACGACGATGAAAACTTGAGAACGACGATCAAAGTTTCAAAGTTCGTAAAGTTGGCGAAATGGTTGTTCACTTTGGATATACGAAGGTAGGTTCGTTTATTTTCTACGCGAAATCGTGACGTAAAAAGTATAGGATATATCCTAGATTCACTCACATCGGATTTATCAACGCGATCTGAACAAATTCTGAATAAATTCTGATATTTCCAGATACAAACGACACGGATTCTAGAAACATTTTTCGATTGACGGGCAATCGAATCGGAAAGAAGCTCTCGTCTTGGGATTTTCTCTCATTTGTGCATGGAATATTCACAAATCCATGCCAACTTTGTCGGAATTCATTCGATATGTTTATTAATACTACGTACATTTTTATCCATTACATCTTACTTAATATCGTATGATGGAAGATGGAAGAAGAGTACAACGATCGTAATTTATGAATAATAATGAATCGAATCGCGTTGCGCGTTGATTATCGGAATTAATCAATCTCGATTATCTTTCTAATTCAATCTATTCGATCATTCATAGAATACACAGATTTATATAATGAATCTTTGAATGTCTCGTGCATTTTTTATGAATACAATAACAACGTATTTATTCGTCGTAGAGAAGCAAACATTTTTCCAACGAATTTTTTTCGCCACATTTCAACAAGCGTTAAAATATCCCTCTTCGTTTCATTTATCTCGAAGGAAAGAGGTTTTGGTTTTTCTTACCAGGAGATCGCCCAAAGCCAGGGATAAAACGTAGGTATTGGGCACATTTCTCATACTGGCGTGACACACGAGGGTGAACACCAGAATCCCATTTCCAATTACACCGACTACCAAGATTAATAAGAATACAACGGGTACTATGTAAGTTTCAGGTCGCTGGTCGTATGGAACGTAACTATCGTCCTCTTCATCCTCGTTTCCTTGCATGGAAAGGGTCGTTGCATTCAGGATCACTGCCATCTGCAAAAACACAACCGATCTGTCTCCCATTGTGAACTTACTTCACCAGCAATTCATCTCCTCTTACGCGTACATGTTTTCATAGAGTACTTTCCCCCGATATTTTTCGCGGTATATGAAAATAAACGGCGCATTCTCCCCCTCTCCCCCATTTACACCAAACCATTGTTGCTTGAAAGTAGAATCTGTCCCATTCGCGTTGTTAAAAATCCAAATTTTTCGTACAGGTATATACGATGTATCTTGGAAAAAATGAAAGCAAAAAATTTTATATCGACGTTTATATCGGGTTTCTCTCGATTGATTTTGTTTGCGACGAATTGCTGATTGTTGTTTCGTCCCGTTACACTCGTGGTTAACAATCGTGGAAAAATTGGATAACGAGTTTTTTTAATAGTTGACTAATGGCAAATCTGAAAACTCAAAGCGGTATTAATAAACGGTATGACTCGATATATTGTCAAGGAATTAATCATGAGCACTTAAATATATTGTTTCAATGGAAATAAAAAAACGATCCAATTTTCTATATGACATATTTTCACGAGTGGAGAATATTCGAGGCGGGCACGTGAATGAATGCAAATATATATATAGATTAAAAAATAAAACGATAAAATCGCGTGTCCACACGGTGAATTGATAGTCAAATAAATTGGTTTTTCTTTCTTTCTTCTTTTTTACTTTTTTTTTTTTTTTTTTTTTTTTTACTTGAATTTACAAAAACCACTTTGATACGGATATTCGTATTCGAAATACATTCGTCGTGCAGCGACACGTAATTTACACGTAAATTCATGTGGTTTTCGCATGAAGGAAAAAGAAAGAAAGAAAAAAAGGAAAACAATAAAAAAATGAGAAAAGTGAAAAAAAAAAGGTGAAGAGAATTTTTATTCTTTTTCACAAAAAATAAGGTTCTCGTCGCACGAAAAAGATTTTCTTCAGTCATTGACGGTCGCCGAGAAATTACATTTTGTAAATTCTGTCTCAACGTTTTAATATCATTCCCCGACAGTGGCTCGAAAATCCAATGTATATACTCTAAAATAGATAGACGAGAAAGAACACAGGAGAAAAATGGAGCTCGTACGACAGTCGATATTTCATTGAAATATCATTTTTCTCGGAAATATCTTTCCTTACAAACTCCATTACTATTTAAAATACTTGTTTTGCTTTAATTCGAATTTTCGTCCCGTAAAAAGATAATGGAAATCAGAATAATTTCTCGCGTATAATTTCTCGAGTATAAGGCTTGTGAAAAGAAATCGAAGGAATAATCAGATATTTTGATGATCCGCAGATTTTGTGCAATATTTTCCCAAGTAGAAACACTTGGAAAACCCACTTTTTCCGCCATCTGGCGGATATTTTTAAATCGCGGATGAACTTTCCATATTTTTTTTTTTCTTTTTCTTGAAACACTTGTCGAAAAATCAAGCACATGTCTCGTGAACATATCGTCTCTCCAAGCAAATTTAACAAAAGTGACATAATTTTATCCAAACTTCTTCATTACTTGAAGAAGCTTCGTGAGATTAATGGCCATGACAATTAAGCCATGAATGAACGGGAGCGAAAGCCAGGATTAAATTTCTGATTAAGCGCGGAAACGAGAGATTAAGGAAGTTGTAGGGTGCATCTTTTCTTTGGATCAAGTGAGAAGATTAGGATAAACTATATAGTTTATATCTGAACGAGCAAACAGAATATGAGATTTGTGAAAGATGAGGCGTGGGCGAAAATGGCAAAGTTTAATGTAGATCGAACATCGTACGTTAGAATTGCAAATAGCGATCCTTGCGATATAGAAACACCATTTTAAAGAAAAGGAAGATTTAGGATGAGATAATGAAATGATATTTATGCAAGCTTTTCTTCTTCGCCTGCTTTTCATTTTTTCTCTCTCTCTCTTTTTTGTCTATTTTTTTTTTATCTCCTTTACAATTCTTCGTCATTGAAAGTTTCGATTTGAAAGAGAGTAGAGTCATTTTTCATTTCACGCGATGCCACCCTCGCTTTTGTCCCATGAAACCTGCGTATCGATATCCGACTGTCCGATAGAGAATCGCAATAAAAATTAATCAGATTGATCGCGATACTATACGATCTCTCTGCCATTTTAATTTGAAATAAACTTGCCGACAACGAAGATTTCATTTCTCGAGAATATTCGTCGATATTATAATTTCATATCGTTCCTGTGAGAATAATTTCGCAACGAGCAACTTGTAGACTCTCGTATATGTACGTTTCACTCTTGAAAGGAAATTATTATCTATTTTTGACGAATCTCTTGGTTGTTTTAACCCGAGAGTTCTTTTTTTCTCTGTTTCATCACAGTTTAAAGGAGAAACTGCTCCTTTCAATTTTCTATCTAATTATAAATTAAATATACGAATTTCGATAAAGATAATATCGTTTTAAGAGATCTACGAATTTCTGGGGAAAGGAAGTTAAATTTCTTCATTTAACTTTCCTCACCTGATCAGTCAGAACAGTAAGCAAATATTTTTTTTATCCCTGAGTAACAAACGTCAATCGAATTCTTCTTCTTCCGTGAAACGGTGATAATTTGATAAGGTATCAGAAACTTCGTTCCATTCTACTTTAATTGTCAAAAATTTATGACAACGGTTTTGTATCATCGATGAACGAATGTGCAAATTTCACCTTTGAATTTGTTCACTTGTGGTCGTATTCCTCGACTTTCCAAGATCCCGTTACTAAGTGAACCGTGAAGATATTTTCGCGTCGCCATCATCCACGTTACATTAGATATTTTTCAACAAAAATGTCTCGATGCCGACACATTGAAGATTGAGAAATGGAAATGGACATCATTTTCCATTCGAATGAACTTACCTCCAATTACGTTAAATTGCATACTTGTTGCAACTTCATTATACCTGAAATGGCTTCCCCCCATTTTCTCGTGTCTCTACGGTTCCATTAGCTCGAATATTTTCACTATCTTATCCTGTTTTGCCAAGCTTTATGCCATTTTAACGCGACATCCCATGAATTACGCTGGATTTATAGCCAAACTTCGGATCACAAAGTTTACGAGCGGAACAAGAGCTGATGTATTTCGTGCCTTGCGTTAAAAATGGCCGAATTAATTTTAAAAACTATTATTCGAAACTTTTGCATTGAATTGTATTAATTTTTGGGAGCGTAGAAAAAAAAAATATTCCACCCTTTTGCGATATGCATGGCAATTGTTATATCGCGTTAAATTATTAATTAAAGTAATTGTACGTATACAAATTGCACATTAGGGATTGTTAACTGTGTCGTCTCGTAATTAAATATCGAATTAATTTATTTTTCAGTAGTTTTGTTCATTTCACATTTCGTTATGGATAAAATTTTTACGCATTATTTGAAATTCTTTTTTACCCTAAAAAAAATTGTATTTCAAAGAGTTAAGATGAAAAATCGAAATATTTTTACTTGTAGAATCTCGAATAAAATATCTCTTCTTATCTTGCTCTTTGAGAGATTGGAAGGATCCTTTCTTGCGAGCAAAACATCCTATTTTCTAGTTCCAGATTGGTTAATGGAACGTCTTCGATGTTGCAAGTAACCTGTATTCTCGATGTCGTAGACATTCATTCCTCCTCCAACTCTTCCATTCTCGATACGACGAAATTGAACAGCGGTTTTAGAATGTCAAAAATAAAACGAATGAAATATTGATCTATCGAGCGATTGATTGAAATACAAACCAGCCATGGAGACGTACGTGAAAAAGCGTGCACAGCTTATCAAAAAAATAATTGCTGTCATCGCGTTTACAAGCAATTAACAATATTATACAAATATTATTCGTCGCGTCATACACAGAGATTAATTATTCGAAATTGTTTCGGATTGAAACGAAGTGGATTCGTTCGAACGGAAGATAACACCTGTCACATTGTAAACAAAATTGCGAAATCCGATGCGATTAAACGTAATTTTTAATAATAATTATCCCGACGATGTTAGTGATGATATTCACAAGGAATTACGGTTGCGGTGCGTAGATCTGACGTTGTCATTTGCATATCTCGTGGAGGCGAGCCACGTTGAACGGAAGCAAAACCGATCATCGATGAACCGTGGCCGAAAAATGGATAGCGCGAGTATTACGATTCGAACAACTATTTTAATGGAGTACGCATATTCATGCGCCTTCAAATTTGATCGCCGTCGTAAAAAAAAAAAAAAAAAAGTAAAAAAAAGTGAAACGATCTGATAGCTCCATAGCCTTCGATAATCTTTTTTTTTTTTTTCCTCTTCTTCAAATAACATTCCAAATATTTAATATGGAGATCATTCTTTGAAAGAATCAAAAATTCATTCATTGAATATCCTAATTATGGATTTTTATTTTCGAAGATACTTCTATGAGAGGAGAGAGATTAAATTTATGCCATATGTATGCATCATTAATTTCGGCGGAATCGGTATTTAGATCCCGAGATTCCCTCTCTTGATTTAAATCCTGGCAATTAATCCTACTCAGAGCTGGGTAAGTTTGAAGCCTTCCCTTTTGAAAGAAAGTTCCTGATATATTGCCGATATTATGATTAAGTGTGAGCATTAAGGATAAATGCAACATCAACAATGTCTCATAAATGGACAAGATATGCAAAAGTTTCTCCAAATATCCTGAATATTAAAAATAATTCGAATAAAATGAAATAAACGCTTTTGAAAGGGAACTTTTCGAAGAACAATTTCTTCAAATTTCAAATCGAATCGAATACGATATCAAAAGATAAACGAATCGTATCGAACATGGATGAGTGTTAACGCAAAAGGTTTTCGGTTCTTTGGAAAAATTTCCCCGCATTTTTATCGACTATTAACCTTTACGAGTTTCAGGATCGTTTAACGTTATCCCGTTCGAGGAAAATATCTTATCGCATCAATAAAATGGTTTTTTGGCATGCAAAGGCTGAAAATTTCGATTTTAGAGGAAGGTTTCTCGATATATATTCTCATGGTTG